TCGACTGTTAATTTAATATAATATGATTATACAATTTAAAATTTTTGTGCAAAATTGATATTCAACATTTCTTAGAGTCAAAATAACACAATTTATGAATAAGTGAACAAGTAATGTAAAAATAATGTGTTTTAAAATTATAAGTAAATTCTAAGAGAAATAAATTAAATACACGTTAATATCACAAACGTTAATTTTTGTGAAAAAAAATGTTTTTGCGGTTTATTTATGTAAATTATTACTTTTTTTTTGTATTTATTCTCTTACATGTGATATTATTTGTGTAACCTTTTAACATATTCAGCTTGTGTTAAATTAATTCAAAAATTTGAGTGGTCCGTTCGCAACATGCGATTTATGTCAAATTTGACATATTTTTTCCAACAATGTACTAACATAATATCTGTATAACAACATAATATCAGTTTATCAAACGAGATTACGTAACGCGATGTATTTTCTATATTTAAAAAAATGAAAAAATCGGCAATTTATGCGATACAAAATCGTATTAAAAGTATACTGCTCGCGAGACGTCGTTAAACATTCCATTTTCTCACGGTCGATAGATACGAAATATTTTCACTAACGGTATGATAATGCATGAAATGTGATGGTAAGTAAAACGAAGATATTACATACAGTAGCGGATTTTCTCATACATAACGTTCATATTACACAATGATCGATCGGTGCGTTAAAAACGCAATTTATTTCATCAGCAATAACTCGAAAATGAAATGAAAATATGCATACTTTTCGTCGTTTTGAAACACGTAATTAAAATATATTGACAAAGTACAAAGAAATCATTTTTTTAAATAATCCTGGATAGTATTACGTTTTTAAATAGAACAGGATGAAACAGGACAGTATAAAAATCAATATATAAATAAATGAAATATTAAATTTATATTAAAAAGAAAAAGAGAGAAATTATTGCTGACACTCATCACTGGTATATATGTAGGACATGCTAAAAAAGGTGGTAGAAGATGAGTGCTCGAACTTTGTAAGATATAGTTAGCAGTAGCCACATGGTATGTCTTATTCCGATAAAAAGTGCAACCACGGAGAATGACTTTTTGCCAGAGAAAAGGTTAAACGGCGAAGAGTCGAATGATCATCTCGAGGGAGTTACGTTTTAGGTTTTTCTTGTCGTGTAAAGGTTGACCTTACGTATTTAAACGGTTCGTTAAGTTGATTCTTTCCGGTTAGATTTTCATTTAATTTAAACGACAACGATGGCGTCGTTTTACAGTTTCTTCCGTCTCCCTCTCTCCCTTCCTCTCTCTTCCTTTTCTTTGGCACTCGATGCCCGGGTGACGCTAACGAGTGTGTTTGGAATTTTGACAAATCTCGCACTAGGATTTTGCTTTTCATGCGCGACCCAGTAACAATGCAAACGTCGTTATTCGTCTGTCACACACATTAACAATTTCATATGAAAACACCGTATCCGCAGATGTGTATTGCATTTTGCGCATTTACGCACCTATGTACCCAAGGTTGATATATGTGTTGTAAACGTTTGCTACGCTTACCTAAAACTTATTACGGTTAACATATATCTACCTATCAGCTAACGTAATATCGCATGACATGCACAGTTCTATGTGTCTACATCAAGCAACGATGCGCACACAAACGGTCTAATTTAATGGAGCAAAACGATAAAGCGATCTGCCATAAGCTCAATTCCTTCCTATCGTAAGCACCAAACAGCTGGAATAGAATAGAGGAGAAGGCAAGCAAAGGGTAGAACGAGAAGAAAGGAGATGAATCGCGTTTGCTCGATTTCACCTGCGAAACCATCGAGAAACTGTCGCGCATCCCGCGATAGACGTTTACTGATGACCCGTCAAAAATTGATTTTCGCATTTTGCCCCTGTCGATACGTGTTACCGCGTACACACTTCATCCCTACAACTCAACCACTGTGTACACGCGTGATCCGGAAAACACGGGACATGGGAAACGTCGTGTACAACGCCAACGTGCGAAGCATGTGTTCGAAGAGTGTTTAAAAGAGAGAGAGAGGAAAAGGGGGAGAGGGAGAGAGCGAGAGAGAGAGAGAGTGAGTGTGTGTGTGTGTGTGTGGAAGAAGGATAGATAAATAGTTAAAAGCGTTTATTAATATTCCAGAGATAAATTGTGAAATGAAGATTTATAATAGATATTATGAAAAGAAACGTTCTAAAGAAATTATGGAAAGAGAAGAACGAGAAGATGAAGATGAAGAGGAAGATAAAGATTAAGATATACGATAATTATGGGAAATTAATTGATAAGGAAGCAAACGACACGAGGACACAATAATATGGAGACAAGCTAGAGGTTTGTGTAACAATTATGCAATAATTGTGTAATAATATAAATTAATGTAAAACGGACGATATTGAACAGTATTATTGATCGTATTGAAAGTACAGTACGTTGTGTCAATTAAAAGTTCTTTGAAATATGCAACTTGTAAAATACCGGTTTGCCTGCGGGTACTATTGCTCAATAAGGTTCCAATTTCTCAGGAATGTTCATTTTTTTCTGTTACAAATAAACTATGTTATCAAAATTGACATTGAATAATGAAAATTTTGAATGATCAATTTTGATTATACAGCTTCTAAAAAATTAATTAAATGCCCTTTTTCGCTCGTTATCACACACGTAGAACGATAGTCATTCTCATTGAAAAGAGCTATTTATTTAGAATGTACAAATTTATCTTCAATAAAATTTATCGTTAGCTTGCTTAGTATGATCAGATGTCGACTGATCATTACAAATATTTTACTGAATGCAATTGATACGTTACGCATGCCACTAATTACAATTAAATCAAAAACAGACGTTATTAAACTAATAACAAGAATTAACTAACTTATTGCACGATTTGATTGAAAATTATATTGGGAGTTATATTAAATTGTTTAGAAGGGGCATCCATAATATATCGTAAAATATAATTAAATAATAACATTGATCGTATAAAGGTCGTTTGAGATATAAAAAGGAAAGGCTGTGATATTTAGGATATCAAAAAATATGAAATATGAATGGTGATTCAGGAGATTTAGAGACAACAGTAGTAGTGGACTCCAGTTGACCGCAATACAGATACCTAAAGATAGATATGTGAGGTTAACAGGTATCAAGCTTCTTAGCAAATGGACTAAAGAGTAACACATTTCTATTGTATTAATATTCTAACAAAATTTAGACATTCAGAACGTATAGAAGTAGGTAAAAGAAAAAATGAAAGTAAAAAAAGAAGAATAGCAAAAATAATATAACAAATGAAATATGAAAAAGAGAGAAATATACGTTGTTCCTCCCAAAATGACCTTCGGAAAGCGACCTTTACCGCGAGAACTACTTACGCGGTAGACTTAACGACTTCGCCCGCGGTTAAAGCTATACGCCGCGCAATTAATTCCCTAAGTTCCGTCGGCAAGCAAATCGATGCAAATCCTTGAACAAAATCCCTTACGACGCGTCGCTCTTCGTAATAACTCCGTCCAACATCGAATTTGCCTATCTAAACTACCCGTTAAAAGCACGACTACGACGATCGAATGACCTAGGCCAATGATTAACATTGTTTCGACAATGAAGGAATCGAATCGACCACATTGAAATTCATACAAGTTCTATATATTGTATAAATTGATTAGCTGATGAATGTTTATGACAATGTATATGATTGTTTCTATAATAACCATCAAATGTTTAAATACATTTCCTCCTCAGTGGTAAACAGCTAAATTGAAGAAGAAACATCAGTCTAGGATGTCTCTAAAAAAAGAAATCCTTGCAGTTTCGAAAAGTCTCACTGTAAACAAGTAATTTTTGAAATGCAGAAGCGGCAAAAAGGGAACCTAGAGTTATTGGAAATCCATGAATGAAGATCGGAAAATAAGTATGAGCAAGCAACTTTGCGAGTTTAAATCTCGATCCGATCTCTTGATAGAGCCTCAGATATTGGACGTTTATGATAGACACGCCATTCAAAATATTCACCTTATGTCAATTAAAATGACGATAATCTTGTCATTGCTGAATGATAGTTTGCCTTTTTATTACGAGAGTGCGATATATTCGTAAATATTTATTTGATAAGCGCCACAATTGCGACACACTTAGTAACATATTCCCGTTCTAATAAGAAACGCGAATTATCGGAAAAATTAAATCACTTTGAGATGATTTCCGTTATAAAGAATAGCGCAAATCCAAAGAAATTTTCGTTAACAGTATCATCGTGTCGGAAACTGTGATGGAAGAGACTTTTCTACAATTTCTGTAGTTGAGCACGTAGTCGTGTCACGTGGTCTGTGACCATGATTTACCAGGGAGACGCGCGGTTGAAAAAAAGTTGCAGTAAATATATATATATATATATATATACTTTAGGATTGTAAGATTCTTCAATCCGGGATTTTTGTTTTTGAAAGCTCTGAAAGTTGCGAGACAACAGAAAGGAGAGAAGCGGGAGCGATGAAGCGGACGAAACGAGGTTTACTTGGATCAAACGAGGAGAGAGCGATGCTGTCGCCGTCGAGGTAGCTTTTCTTCCGTGAGGCGAAAACGCGCGAGATGAAAGAAAGGTTGCGAATCCGAACAGCAAACGGCAATAAAATTCATCACGAAAACCTTTCACGTGAAACCTTGTCTATTTCCATTTGTGTCGGAAGTTGGTAGAAATGGTGGCGAAACAACGTTTCGAATTCATAGCGTCGGCCACGCGCAAGTCGCTATTGCGAATTCTTTCAATCGTTGAAGCGATCTCGTGGAAGGAGAGAGAATCCAATGAAACGCGCGCGTCTCAATACGATTTTTACACGCCGCGCGCCAGGATTTCTCTCTATTCCTTGTTAAGATTCGTTATTTTTTACTATGGGAAAAAATAAATATAGGGAAACTGTGTAGAAAAGTAAAAATACGTGAATTTCTCGATGTTTAACTAACCACGACGGTAAAGGGACTCGCTGTAGATTTACCTTGAGAAAACGTGGAACGCGTGATGCCGTGCACGACGCCGTCGATGCTGACGAAGATGAGGAGCGGTGCCAGGGCTGCGAGCATCGGAACCGTCCTGGAACGCGCGACATTCGCACCGCTGCGGGCCTGCAGCGTCATTCCTGTTCCCCGGCGCACTCGCGATCTCCGATCGCGCTTCTCCCGGGTGCAATGTCCTATATCACCCGCGATCTTGCTCTTCCCACGCGATTGGTCCACGATTAGCGCACCTGGTGTCGCCTGGAGCGCCTTCTGCGCGCCTGGCACGTGCTCCGTGCAGCTCCCGGCCGAGCGCCTCCGCTCATCTCCGTGCGTTCGTGCGCGTACCACGAGACACCGTCCTGATGCTGATTACACCGTCTCGGAGCGTGACACGCCGGTAGAATGGCTCGGCACGCATCGGCACGGTGGCTCAAGGTCACGTTCGCGAAGGGAGAACTACGTTAAGAATGAAAAGGAGTGTGAGAGAGAGAGAGAGAGAGAGACAGAGTGAGAGAAAGTGAGAAAGCGAGAGAGAGAGAGAACGCGCGAGAAAAAGACACTCCGGTACGTATAAGTGAGGATCCACGACGAGACCTCACTCCCCTTCTCCCGAGGCTGGTCCTGGTCCCTCTGTCCCGGGCCGTAGACTGCTGCCTGGAAACCCTCGGAGTACGGAGTACGCTCGTGTCTCCACCACCCCCGTCCCTTCAGCGCCGCGTAAGCACCCGGACTCCACGTCCCGTCCCGCGACTCGCCGCCGATAAACTTCCTACGGGCACCCTCTCTCTCTCTCTCTCTCTCTCTCTTTCTCTTTCTCTTTCTCTTCTCCCCTCTTCGTTGTGTAGCCCGCACCAGGAACAGTCTAGCCAGCGCTTGCGCTCTCGTAACCGTGCCCTGATGCCCGGGCACTGCCGCTGCCACTGCTGCTGCCTCTGCCTCTACCTCTGCTTCTACCGCTTCCTCGTACCTTGGCGAATCTCTCTTCCATCTGTCTCTCTCGTCGGCTCACCGGCTGTCCTTGTCGGTAGCCCTTCGCGCGGGAGAGACCCTACGGTGGTGGTGTAGCTCCCGCGACCTCCCGCCTTTCCCTCTTTCTTTTTCGCTCTTTCGACAACTCGGCCCCTACTCGATCCCGAATTTCTTTCCACGAACCGTTCCTGATGTTTCCTCGCTCCGAAACGCTCTCGCGTCTCTCTTTACCTTCGTAGCTCGTACCAAACGCAGATCTCCGTGATGGTCGAGTTAATGACGAGTTTATAAAGATGATAATTGCGATCCGTTTGAGTATTTAGTCGGGTACAATCGTTATTAGGGGAATGGTCCCGGATAGCTCGCGGGGATCCCGGAACCATCCACCTGCCGAGTATCTCTCGCGCTGTCTTCGCCCGGGACACCGCTTAATTCTAGATATTGCCCCTGGAATTGCGAGTTACGATAACCACGCGACCAAGCGTGTGTCGTCCGAATAATACTTTTCGGTAGATTAAGAGCTACCTAATTCATTTTATCTCTTACGTGCTGATTGCGCTGAGTGTCTATTCCTTGAAAAAAATGACTCCCACGACGATCAACCGTAATTCTGTCGCAGGTAATAAAGAAACAACTTTGTTTTGTACACTACCAATGGCACGATATATAAATCCCCGCGATGGATATTACTTTTTTAGAATACGAAATAAATTTCTTCGTGTTCCGGAGCGCACTCCCTCGCGGGAGTAATTTTAAACTGGTAACACACGTAAGAACAAAAATTAACTTGAAAGCAGTAAAAACAGTTGTAACGCGGCACTTATATACCGATTATGTTATTTTGAATTTAATAAAAATATCTGTCTATTTTTAACCAATATTTTATACCTTGGCATGACTAAATCCGTCTACAAAAACAACAAATAAAAAAAGCAAGCGTGACAAAAATAATTTTGATCTTATTTCTATGTTTAGCTATAGAAAAAATGCAAGAAATTATGATAAAATTCCGCGATCAACGTTAATGAAATTTCACTTTGTGTGGAAAACGGAACGTGTGTGTGTGTGTGTGTGTAACTGCTTTTATTTATAAAAACTAAAAATGCAGTTCTTTTTTTGCGATGGCCATACAATTTAATAGCCGGATGAGGGGTATATACTATAAAAAACTATAATTCTTTTCAAGTGAATTACACACAATAACAGTTGTATACAATAATTTCTTTTCCAAAAGTTTTTATTTATCAGTAACAATAGAAAGAAAATATCGGTTCAATAGAAAACTATATGTAGAGTGACGTCACGGTATTTTTTTTTTCTTTCTAGACACGCTATATCGACAAAATAACGTTCGAAAATGATGATCGCGAATGAAATTAGTTAAAATGTCGCTTGATCTTCGTCAAATTGTTCCATTATTAATTCTCTTGAACTTCGTTCAATCTCCTCCTTCCGATTATCCGGCTTTGTGTGTAGCATGGCTTGTCCTTGATAGCGAATCGCGAGAGTCATATCTCGCGCGAGAACTAGACATATTTCAAGAAGATCACGACCTATTAGCAACGAACCCGCTGTTAGCAAAGAGCGAGGATGTAGCGAAGGAGGGTGGTCGAGACAGATATGAGCTAACGCTATGAAAATACGGGAGGCGAAATTTAGAGTGATGTATGTGCACACGGAAAAAAATGACTTGACAACAAGTAGTTGAATTTTAATGGATGAATCAACCTTAGCTGTAAAAGCTACTGCCTTAGTATCATTGTTAAACTTGAACTATTAAAGACAGAAAACATTCACCGTATGAAACTTTATTAATTGAAATTAAAAGCATTATTAGTACGAGCGGCTAAGACTGGATGTATCTAAATTACTTACCCATGCATATGTATTACGGAAAGTACTTCGTCATTTCATGTCTCCAACAGCAAAAATTTTCTTGCTACAGTACATAAGTGCAAATAGCTAATAAATTTAGCTTAGGCACCAACAGACCAACAGCATTAGCTGTCCCTATTTTAAAGACACATTTTAACTATCACAGCTACAAAGTAAATGTACCAGTTAGTGAATACGAACCAATTGTTGGACAAAGTGATAAAACATTTCAAATTTTAAGATAAATTGATTATCTTATATTTTTCAAATATTAAGCTTTTAATGTGTACATTCATGTGTACTCTAAGTTGTTTACAAAAATTTGATAACGAAAATTTATTTAAAATCACATACATATCATTAGAAGCTTAATGTTTGAAATGTTTGATCACTTTACCCAACAATTGGTTCATGTTCACTAACTGGTACACATTTACCTTATATACGTATTAGCTCCTGTTGCTAATCCTTTTTTCCGTATAAGCGTGCGTGTGTGCGCGCGTATATATGTGTACGTGTGTGTGGGGTGAGGGAGGAAGTGATTGTTCTAAAATTACGAGGTACGATCCCCGGCGCGTCGTTAGCAGATCCGAACGTCTGCGAACACGTCGCGAACGAACGGGAGAAAAAAAAAAGTGGAAAGGGAATGCCGAGTAATTGACTTTAAGATTCGACTTGAATTCACCTGGAGGACAAATCGGAGTGTCGAAACGTCAATATTTGTCACGCCGTTTCATCACGCGAGTTGTCATATTTCTAAAATCTCAAATGGACGAGACGTGCGCGAGCGGACTCGATATATTGATTTTGTTTATAGACAAAGCTGTTTTTGTCATGTCTCTGTTACGCGGCGCGTCAAATTTCGATGAATCACGCTTTCGACGTTGCTTCCGAAATCTCGGGCATTGCAAGAACAAACGATGCACAGCCATCGGAGACTTGAATGTGCGTTAATTAATCGCGACGATTAATCGGCGGCGTAATGTAGCCCTAATTGATCGCGGGCAGGTGACTCGTACCACGCATTGTTACTCGCGAATAAACGTGTTTCGCCGATATAACGTGTATTAATGATCTCATATATTAGAAATGTTCAGCGTATTCCGAAACGCACCACGCGCACCCCAAGTCTTTAAATACCCATCGCAATTCTGTAACGCGCAACGACCAAGTTTATATCTCGGATGATCAGTCTCGGATGATCGGTGTTAACGAGGTTTGTTACAATAGAGCACGAGCTTTCCGCTAAGACGATTGACGAGGGTAGTATTAAGGTCGTATAGCGACGTTGGTGATTGTTCCGAAATTACGACTATCATTAAAACTCGTACTTGCTACTTTCGCGATGATTAATTTTTGACGATTTTTCAAATCAAGATTCCTCTACACATCTAATATCAACCATCGAGTCTGTTCTTAATTTTGTACTCTTCTCCCGTTATATATTTATGAATAAATTTATTAACGTCCCGTATCGTAAAACACTGAAAAAAAAAGCTAATAAGCGGGATTAAAGCATTGGAAGGGGGTTTTATGATTTATGCTTATTAGTGTCAGCATGAGTTTTGCGAGGAAAACATCACGCGACTCGAATAAAATGAGCGCGGCAGAAAGGTTGAACGGAAAACGCTAATAAGCTTACCGGATAAACGTAATACCTGTTGTATAGGCCGCCACAAGAGGTATAAAGCCATGCGTTCGAACACACCCAAAGCATATTTCTCTTCATATTGTATCTATCTCGAGTCGCACGAGAATATTTCTTTCGAATAGACAAATTTTTTTAATCGTCTACGTTTTAGAAATTTGACATACTCTATATCATGCTTTCATTGCAATTCACTCTGTGACAATATAAATTAAAATAATAATATATTAAAGCTTAATTGAGATAAATCAAACTAATGAGTGCCCTTTTTATTTATAATTGACGTTATTAAATTGACTGTTACTTGTTTAAATAATTCGTAACGTTCGATAGCTAGCATATGAAACTCTTTAATGAAGATCATGTATAAGTTCAAGATCCATATTCTGTATTTATAATGTCGATTTAATTAATATTGTAGTTTGTCGTAGATCTATAATTTTGTATATTTTACATATTTAATTTATTTGTCAGTTTAATTATTATTATACAGTATACCGGGAAATGTAATGATTTCGTTGGAACAACATAATTAAATTGTAAAGGAAAACATTGAAAAGGATCCGAAGCAGGGATCGAAACATATAACCAAAATGTTAAGTAAATGAATAAATTATTTATTTATTTTTCATACCAACATCCATTGTTTGGTTTTAAAAGGCATTATTTATTAGATTGACTTGCGATAATTTGTGTATATTTAATGTAATTTTTTAAATATCAGGGTCAATTGTATTTACTAAAGATGATCCTTCCCCCCAAAAAACGTAGAACCCCGAAACGTTTAATTGTTTTTAATGTCTATTTAATAAAAAAATTATTTATATGTATGCGCGCGCGTGAACATTCAGTCTTATAAATAGATTGTATCTTAGACAAAAAAAGGTAGAATGAAATGTGGAAGGAAGTGGTTTTGGATTACATGTTTATGGTAAACGTTTCCGCGTTCTTCTGACGGCCGCGACAACGCAGTGATCGCA